GAACCGGGGCCCTCTGGCGTCCCAAGCCAGCTCTCAACCAACACGCTACTCGGCCGGCCCTAAAGCTATATTCTTTAAAGGCTATAACTCTCCTTTCTAATGGTCATAAATAGAAGTTCCTTTCCTACACATACCTATCACCCCCCTCCCACCAATGAATATAATATCTTTTTTCAATTATTTCCACTTTAATGGATATAAAGTGATTGTGATAGGAAGAATCCTAAGATGACTGCAGGCGAGTCACATCTTTTGAGTGTGGGCAGAAACTGTGACTTGCTTTTCTCCAAAAGAATATTCGAAGGTGATAAAACAGATATTTTCATGATTGTATTTTGTTATTAGCAAACTGGAGCCAGAGACTCACCTGCCAATTTCGAAGAAATAAGATGCCATGTTGTGAGAGGGCTACTCGAGAGGAAGCTATGGGGATCTCTAAGATGCAAGAGTGGCCCCCTGCTGACAACAGCAAGACCATAGGGGACTCAGTTCTACAGCCTCAAGTCCTACAGCTGCAGGAATGGAATTCTGCCAGCCATCGTGTGAGCTTAGAAGAGGACCCAGAGAACATAGCTGCCAACACCTACTAAAAAACAGGTGGTCATATTTGTCTACAGCTTGCAAGACCCTGAGCAGAGGACCCAACTAAGCCATATCTGACTTCTGACCACAAAAACTAAACCATATTAGGGCTGTTTTTAATCTGAGGTAATTTGTTATGCAACAAGAGGAAACTAATACAGTGACATATCATTGTTAATTCAGTTAGTATTTCTCTGACTGTTAAACTTTGAGCATTATTTCATAGGTTTGCTGGTAATTTGGCTTTGCTTTCCTGTGAATTGCCCATTTATGTGTTTTGCCCAATTTTTTCTATTGGATGGCTTGTGTTTGTCAAATTAAGAACTCTTTGTCTATTATAGATATGAACCCTAGTCATCTCTCCATATCTACTGCATATCTATTGACTTTGGTTATGGTATCTTGTAACACTGAATTATTTTTGTGTGTGTGTAGCCAAATATGTCCATCTTTAAAAAAAAAAAGTCTGGATTTATAGCCTTCAATAAGGTCTCAATCCCTGAAGTGTACATGAAGTCTGTTTTCCTAGATTTACCGTTTCCTTTTTTAAACTTAGGTCTTTAATCCATTTAGAAGTTATTTCTTGATGTTTTAAGAGTTCAGTTAATTCCAGATGAATAGTTAATTGTGCCAGCACAGTCTGTTCAATAATCCAACTATTCCCACTGTATTGAACCACCAACTTAATAAAATAGATCTGTTGCTTTTCTTGCTAAAAATTACTTCAATGCATTTTTAGTTTTTGTCACTTATTTTTCCCATTTCTGTTATTAAATACGATTGACAGAAGAGACAAAAGCTATTTCTTTTTACAGATCAGCCACCTTACCAAATGTTGGCTACTAAGGCCAAAAAAGCAAACTAAGATACTAAACAGAAGACAATGATTTTTTAAAAATCATGTTATGTCTACATTGTTAAAGCAAGAAAGTATGAGACTGCAGCTCCTTCTAAGTTTCCTTTGATGCCTACAATTTAGACAAGCTATCAAAGTATGTACCTTCTCACATTAATGAAACATGAGCATTAACGGTTCCTCAAGTAAAATACATCTTGTCTTAGAGCAAAATTTACGGAAATAATAACAGCTGACAACCATAGATAGGCTTAGTTCATAGCCAGTGTAAGTAAAACATGGCCTACTAATTGTCTTAGATTTTTAAACAAACTTAAGTACCTAGATATATTGTTACCTCTAAATAAAAGTGCTATCACTCTCTTACCTTGCAAAGTAATCCTTAATTTCCCTTCCATACCCTATCAGACAATCACTTCCAAATTCACTTGTTCTTAAGGCCAATAAACAGGAGCATTCAGCTTCCAGTTCCATAGAGCTTCATGTCAAAGTAATGCCAAAATAACTCTCAAGCTTTTTCTTCAGGTTTTAGAATTATCCATTATTTAATATAGGACAGACTAAACTGCTGTAACAAAGAGACTGCAAAATACAGTGGCTTAAATAAAATAGAAGTTTCTTTCTCATGCTGCTATTCTGAATGACAGATCCAGGA